TGGATCATTTCTATGGAAAATTTTATTAGGATGAATGGGGGAAATTTCAAGAGGATTACTACTTCTTTATTGCTACTCTTCCTTATCGAAACACACACACACACACACACACCAAGTTCCTTTGCAGTAGCTCATTTATGACTATATTTTTTTAATTAGAGAGCTTTGATTTTTTGCAAATATATTATCTTACATTTTTTTTCTTACATTTGTTTTTTTTTGGTTTTTTTTTGTCCTTTTTGAGACCGGCCACACCGCGCTCAGCCAGTGAGCGCTGTGAGAGCACCGGTCATCCCTATATAGGATCCAAACCCACGGCGGGAGCACTGCTGCACTCCCAGCGCCGCACTCTCCCGAGTGTGCCACAGGCTCGGCCCCTTACATTTGTTTTTTAGTTTCAATATCTACACAACACTGAATCCAAAAAAAGAGTCTAAATAGATATTCCAAACCTTATAAAAAAAAATAAACTGCCTCCAAAATTTGCTTTTCTTTGTCTGGGCAGCCTCTTCTTTAACAATCCCACACACATTACCAGAGATTTTAGCATAGTAACTAAGCCTGAGATCATGCCTCTTTGTCTGCTGGTATGAATTATGAAGAAATCTAGTCATTTTATGAGGTAATTTATGGTTCATTCTTTCTTTAACTTCCTATTCTTTTCCAGAAAGACTTTACAGTGTTTTTGTGAGAATAAATGAGTAGCTTGAAGAGCAGACTCTGACGCTTCTGTTCTGAGTCTAGGCTGCCTCCCATGCCCTTCCAAAGAAGCACTTGTTATGAGGCTTGTTAATCCTGAAGAGCTTTTGCTGCAGGCAGAGGTGTAAAAAAAGCACATTTTTAAAATGAGTCTATATACATAGTACTTAGAACAGTGCCTGGAACAGGGTGTTATATAAACTCATGGAATGAATGGATAAATAAATAAATAAATACATAAGAACACAGTATAACACAAATTGAATTTGTTTTAATAGATATATCAAACATACCAGGTTAATTTCCCTTCTTGGTGTATCAGCAGACTTCTTTTGTTTCTCTGTAAGACGAAAAGCAAAATAAGCAATCAAAAGGAGTAAAAAAAGCAAAGATAAACCACCTTCCCACTCACATCCACCCCGTTGAATGCCAGTGATAGCGTTGTTAATTTTAGCTTGTTTATTCGCTTTGGCTCGCATGCCACACACACCTCCGTTTGTGAGAATTCACACTGCCCACTGGCCTCACTGATTCACCTCTTCTCACTTGGCGTAGCCCTATGGCACATCCGAGAGGGAGGGGAGAAACCAGTGCATCACTTTGAAAAGGCTGTGCAAAGCCTTGCTTGGGGGACATTCCATACTCGGCACCAGAAATGCTGCTGTAGTGTCACCAACATAGCTAGGATCTCCTGCTGCCTAATTCACTTTGGACGTGGTAAATCAAAATATTTATCCCTGCCTTTTTTTCTCTTCTTTTCTTTTTTTTAAATTTCTGTGAGAGGTTCTAGCAGCCTCAAGAAAGATAAGGAATTCTACAGAGGACCCCAGAAATTGCTGTGTAGATGCAGAGGTGGGGTTACAGAGGATTCTTCAATATCCTGAGGAAGTTCTGGGCTCCAGAAGTCCTGACTTCAAAACGCTGGAAGCATTTTTGCCCAGACAAAACTTTCTCCTGTGACAGACAAAATAAGGGTTGCTCTGTCTGGCTCAGTTTGTATAGCTACACAGTGGTTAGCACTGCGAAAAAGGTGCTGGGAGATGGAAGAGAGGATCAAGAAAAGAGAGAGAAAACTGAGGTGATTGAGATCAGAACTAGATCAGAATTTTCTATGCATCCCTCTCTTACTGTGTTAAGTGTTTAGTTGTGACATTGAGGAAATTCTTACAAAAGTAGAAAGGAATTGTTTTCAAAATATCATACCTCTCCCATCATAGCCAAACCCACATTTTTCAAATGTGTTATTGTTGAGTGAGGATTAAGTTCAAGCATGTATTTTTAATGGCAACAGAAATTACAGACATATGAATTTCCTCTGGGGACACTGATTCTTTATTTAGACAAGGGTGTGTGTGACTGGCATAATGTGGCATATCTGCGAAAAGGAGAATGAGACAAAATAAGAAATCAGACATGTTGATTCAAGAGATTCTTTCAGCCAACCTTTCAACCCTGTTAAGGTTTAGAAGAGCTCCTTCTCATACACACCTAAGATTGATGCAAATGGAATGAGAAATTCCCAGCAATGTGCCCTTCTACCACAGCCCTGGGCTGGAACACTGTGCTGTGGCAAGCATGCCTCACAGTGACTAGAGGGAGCCCAAATTAATCCAGTTAGTTATTTTGGTTTAAGTATGAGTTCTGCCAGGCACACCGTGCCAGCACCTCAGGGCCTGCCCTGGGACCCAGGGCATGGAGAAGGGGACCAGACCCCCCCCCTCCCACAGCCAGGCACTCTGCACCAGTGCCTCAGGGCTGGCCTAGGGACCCGGGGAAAGGGCCTGGAGACTGGACCCCTCCTACAACCACACACAGTGGGACTGCACATCAGGGCCCTGCCTGGGGATCTGAGGCATGGATAAGGGGACCAGACCCACCCTCCACAACCAGGCACCCCATGCCAGTGCCTTGGGGTCTTTCCTGGGACCCAGGGAATGGAGAAGGGGACCGGACTCCCGTCCCACAACCAGGCACACTTTGCCAGCACCTCGGGGCATGCTTAGAGACCCAGGGTAAGGAGCTGGGGACTGGACCCCCCTCGCACAACCAGGCACACCATTCCAGCACCTTGGGACCCATTCAGAGACCTGGGTCATGGAACCGGGGATCGGACACTCTCCACGACCAGGCACACTGCCAGCACCATGGAACAGGCCAAAAACATCTCCATGTGGGTGACCCAACACAGCCACCATGATAACCATGGCTGCCATCAAGGTGGCTAGATGCCACAACCACCAGGCAGATGGTCCACCAGCCACTGGAGTGAGTTGACACAAGGAGAGTCATCAGCAGAGAAAAAGACAGGAGGAGGATGTCTGTCTCCACGGAGCTCATTTCATAGTGATGGAAGAGATATCTGCTGTATGATAGTATTGGGGGATCTGATCATGCCTCTCAGCACTGGACAGATCATTTGGGCAGCAAATCAACAAAGTAACCATTATTCTTTCAGAGGGAAAGAAGAAATCTAGGGTAATTAGAGGGGGGAGGGGAAGACGAAGGGGGATGGGGAGAGATTGGAAAAGGGGCATAAAGAATAATTACAATTTGTAACAATATATATGCTAGTAATATTGATTTGATCAACATATCTCAATGTTGAACCCCAAAAAAGATGTATAATCAATTTTGATTCAATAAAAATTAAAAAATAAAATAAATAAATAAAGGGGGGAAACAAACAAAAATTAAGTATGAGTTGTCCCCCCAGGAAATCACTATTCATGATTTATCACACAAGATCAGGAAAGAAAACAAGAACCAACTAAAAATATATCAGCCCCAGGAATAAGAACCCTAAATGTGTGGTCTAGAGGGGCAGAGGGAAAACGGAACCCACCTTGGTGCCTTCGTAGACAGCAGAACAGGCAGAAACAGGTCATGACGAGTAGAAGCAGTCCCCCCAAAGGAACCAAACTGTAAAGGAGCCATGGTCTGCCTGCTATCTCTTCCTCGGAGAGTGGTCCTGAGGTGCTGGTTGCATCTGGAATGTCAGTCAATGCTAGAGACAGTTAGGAAATCTGAGATATGTTAGGATCGGCAACAATGCTCTGCATTGTCAGAACTTGAATAAAGGAGATTTCAGGCTGATGCGTCCATTTCTCCTTCAGGGGCATTCCCTGAGAATTCCAGGCCTCAGTGTCGTCAGCCACCTCTTTATGGCTGAGCAAATGTGGCTTAGCAATACTTTATCTTTTTCAAAAATCCTTTATTCTGCTAGGGTTAATCTGCTGTGGAACAATCCCCATAACAGCTCTCAGAAAGCACTTCTCTAAGCCCTTACATTTACAGTATCTAATTTAACTCTCATATTCACTACTTAAGGATAGTAGGGAAGCTATTATCTTTATTCAGTCCCATGACTTGAGAAGAGTTATTATTCCAAAAAATTGCTCAACTTGCAATTAACAGTTGTGACCAACATGTTTCTGTCACTAAATTCAAGTTCCTTAAATGCCCTTGCCTTGTCTCATAGCTCATTGGTATCTCCAAATACCAAATACCTCTGGCATCCCCAAATATGGTTTGCCCGGCATACCACTAACGTACATTATTATCGATCAATGAATATTAACATGCATTAAGGCCCTGTTTGTCCATGGTTCGTTGCAACTTATTCGTGGGTTGTGAAACAATTTAGCAAATCACAAGTAGTATTTTTAAAAAATGAAACAGAACAGAATAGAAAATATCAGAAAGCATTGCACACACTAGATTAGTAGTTCCCAACTGGGACAATTTTGTCCCCCAGAGAACATGTGGCAACGTGTGAAAACATTTCTGATTGTCACAAGATGGGGGGGGGGGCTGGAATATAGTGAGTAAAGGCCACGTATCCTGGTTAAACATCCTACATTGCATAGGACACTCCCCGCTCACTGCAACAAATAATTATTCATCCTAAAATGTCAATAAAGAAAGCCTGTCTTGAGATAAGTAAGGCTTTGTAAAAACTGTGTGTGTTTGTATTATGGGCTATAATATGGTGTAAGATCTATTTTTTTTTTCTTTTGGGTTGTTGATAATACAGTATGAAAAGTATTGGAGTAAGATATTCTAGTACAATATGTGTGATTTGTTTTCCTTGATTCTTGGTTGGGGGTAAAAATGATCAGGGGCAACTGAAGCTGAACGTAAAGTGATTTGGTAATTCAGAGTGGTAACAAAGGTTGTACTATTCATGCTGCAGCTTTTGTTTAGGCTGGGCAGGCAGCCAAATCATTGCCAAAAGTGGCAGACACAGCTGTCTGTGGAGGGGTTCGGGTAGTGTCTTAGTCTATTTTCTGTCACTTATAACAGAATACCTGAAACTAGGTAATGTGTAAAGAAATGGAATTTATTTCTTACAGTACTGGAGGTTAGGAATTCCAAGGGGAAGGGATTACATACGGTGAAGGCCTTTTTCTGGGTGGGGATTCTCTGTAGAGTCCTGAGGTGGCTCAGAGTATCACATGGTGAGAGGACAAGAGCGTGTTCATGTGCTGATGTGCTAGCTCAGGTCTCTTCCTCTCCTTATAAAGCCACCAGTTCCACTCCCATGATAAACCATCAGTCCATTAACCCATTAATCCATTAATTCATGAATGGATTAATCCATTCATGAGGGCAGAAGCCTTACAATCGAATCACCTCCTGAAGGCCCCACCTTTCACCATTGCCACATTGAGGATTAAGCTTGAAGGGGACAAACTTTCAAACAGTAGGAGATAGCAATGAGGACTAAGGTTTCCACAACATATCACCTAATACAAACAAATCTACTGAAGTAAGAAGATCCACCTTCTATTATTTCTCCAAACATCAAACAAACTATAGTTTCCTTAATTTTACATAATTAGTTTGACACTTACTTCTTAGAAGGTGTTCTGAATTATTAAGAGTCCATTCTGAAAAAGAAAAATAAGAAAAAGAATTGAAATTGGTTAGGAAAACAATGAGGATATACACTTGGGTATATCCAAAATCAGAGCTAGTTTCAGAGAAGACTCGAGCATTTGCACACCAACAGAGAATCCGATAATCCAGCTCAAGGTCACTACGTGCGATCTGTGGATCACATCTTAAGGTCATGGACACAAACTAAATCAATGGGTTTATGTTGAGGCTCAAAGAAAGACTTTGTAAATTTAAACATAAACAACATAAACTCCATCGCTCTGCTTTGATCCCTCTTCCTCATTCCTTAAGTATAAGGACACAACACAGCTTGTATGACACCTCTGGCACCTGGAATAACAAGACACAGATTCAGCAGGTGAGTGTGGAAGGCCTCAAGGAAAGGATGCTTTTGGCGATATTCTGGATGCTCATTCTGAAACAAAGATTGTGCCTCTCAACTTCCTGCCCTCTTGCCCTATCCCCTCGTTCCTGCACAGATAATGACCATCCCACCTTTGTGAAGTTCCCAATCAGAGATTGACCAAGGGCAGGTTGGGGAGGACGGAGTTTCAGGCCAATGTATGTTCCAGTGAGGTTCCTCAGTTCGATCAACTTTCCCCCTGAGACTTTGCTTTGTTTTTCAAAGTGGTTTTCTTTATCCTGAGAGAATATTGCTGAGAGAGACCTGTTCTTACATGGACATAAACAGCAAAGGAAAGTCAGATACAAAAACAAGAAAATTCCCAATATCTCTTCAGAAAGATATCTAAAGGGGAGAAAATAAAATATATTTTTTTTATCATGCCTCCATAATTTATTTACAAAAGGTATGGTCCTTAAAGGTAATTCCAGAGTATATTGTTTTCCTCACCTCATACTTAGTTCACTGAGCACTATCAGGTTCTGAAGACAAAGGAATTTTTCTTTGATCCTTTCCTTTTTATCTTTGTTTTTACCACTTCACTAAAAGAAAATCTACATTCAGTTTAAATTAGTTTAAATCTACACCCAGTTTTAATTAAAGTTAATCTTTAAATCATCTATTTGACTTTTGTGAAGGAAGCAGAGATAATCCCCCCAAAACATGACTGAAGTCCTGCCTTACAGGACATTACAATCTTTCATGGGACTTAAAGGATATTTCCACACATTAGTATAGTGAAAGGAAATCTGTGATAAATGAGAGCACAAACCTTAAATGGCATAAAAATGGACAGAAGGAAAAGAGAAATCACTTCCCAGAGGGTGATCGTGGAAGGCTTCCTTGAGAACTTGGGAAATGTGCTGGGCTTGAAAGAAGGGGTAGAATTTTGATAGGTGGAGACAGATGAACGGGTGTCCTACAAGTAGTGAGAATGGCATAGGAAGGGTCATGGTGAAGACATGGCAAACAGCAAGTAGGAATGTTAGGCTGGAGCTGAGAGGTCCTATATGAAATCCAGAAACAATCCAGAAAGGTAGGAAGGGAAGAACCATGGAAGACCTTGAATGCTGGTTATCAAACATTAGCTTAATATTGTGAGCACTGGGGATGCTCTGAAGGGGACTCAATAAAAGAGTGGCTTTATGAAAGAAGTGTATGAGGCAAAGTGTAATACAGGAAGATTTTCGGCTGACACAGACCAAAATGGGGAAACACTAAAGACAATCATAAATTAATTGGAACCATTTAGAAGGAAGATAATGAAGGTCTGAGATGCTTATAGAAGCTATAGGAGGAAACAAATCACAGAGTGGAGAGTTGTTGACAGACAAGAGTGAAAGGCCAAAGCAAAGCCCTGGGGAATTTCCAATAGAGGTCAGGAGAGTTAATTAACAAGGGGATAAGAAAGGGAGTGATAAGAAATGTGGGAGAGCAGGAGAGTAGGAAATTAGGAGAGTAGAAATCTTCAGAAAGAAACTTACAATGATTTTCCATGTCTCCAATCTAGCTCTTAGAGTTTCTCATAACTTTTATCCTTAGCATTGTTTGTTCTAGTTTGACACTAATAAAACCCCTCATGGCACAGGGTTAAGAGGGAATGCTGCCTCCCCTAACCTGAAATTAGGTCCTCTCCTCCACAAAATAGATAGATTCTAATTTCAGCCTCTGCTTGATCCCCAAAACATGCACCATTATGCACCTTGCAAACTTTAAACCATTGCTAGTGGTCAAGGAATGAACCAAATATTGGATGGAAAAGAAACCAAGATTCTAATTTCAGCCTCTGCTTGATCCCCAAAACATGCACCATTATGCACCTTGCAAACTGTAAACCATTGCTAGTGGTCAAGGAATGAACCAAATATTGGATGGAAAAGAAACCATAATACTACTAGGAAACTTTTGTGTCTTGTGTAATTATTAGCTTGCCTCTGATCATGGCCAAATTCCTCCCTCTTCTATAAAATTGGATTGGTTCCCATTAAAAAAAGGCTAAATTACACAAGAAGTCCTCTCTTCCAAGGAAGGTGGACTCAATGACACTAAACTTAATTTTATTATATACTGTATTAGTGTATATTATATAAATTTTTCAATAACACATTTATTTTAAATTTAATAGTATAATTAGTGTCATCCTGGAAGTAATGTTTTGCAAGTTATGCTTACTTTTATAATTTATTTTGCCAGTTAAAAAAGTAGCACTTTTTAAAACTTCTTTTTTTTTTTTTTTCTTGTCTTTTGTCTTTTTCCGTGTTCGGCAACGGATCGCAACCCTCAGTGTTGCCCCTGTACCGGACCGGGGACCGACAATAGGATTGCAACCCTCGGTGTTGCCCCCGCGCCTCGCTCAGCCAGTGAGCGGGAACCGGTCTGTATGTGGGATCCGAACCCTCGGGCGGGAGCGCCGCCACGCTTCCCAAGCGGTGCACTTATCCAGTGCGCCACCGGGCCGGCCCCTAAAACTTCACTATTTCATCTCATTAGTGTGAATTATTAGTACAATTCTTTTCAGAAAGTATTCATTCCATATGTCCTCAAAATAGGCTTCTCCAGGTTGTTAAGGACACTTTTTGTACTTTACATAGATTATATTCTTTAATTCATTTACAAAGAAATATTTACTGAGCTCCTGCCATGTGCCAGATACAATACCATCTATCATAGAGAAGCAAAGATGTTTACGACAGCCTTCATCCCAAAGAGGTTTTTAAAGCCAGTGCATGCATAGTCACAGGTAACTAGCAATGAGTTTGACCCCAAATTTGCAAAAGCGGGGTCTACAACTCTACCATAAATTCCTTCTACACTTCTTTGCTTCATAGTTGAGGATTGTAGCTAGAACTAGAATACTGTGCATTCTTTCATTGCACTGCTGTGAGGGATTCTAAGGTGATTTTAAGGATTTTACAGAGATTTTAATGGATTCTTTCATTGGGCTACTTTAACAGAATTTAAAGACTAAATCCAAAGAGTGCATATGAAGTAATAAATTAATTTTTTAAAAAAACAGCTATGAATTATATGCATTCAAGCAAATGGTATCCATAAAAGAAATAACTGTGAGGCTGTATCTAGATTTTAGACATGCTACTACTGCACCATATCTCTGAAATTTCTCCTTTGCAATAACCTTCAGGGTCAGTTTATGGGCGACAGAAGAAACTCCATTTCATTTCTTGTTATTAAAGGTGATGGATCGTGGACGTGACTGGCGCCATTGTGCACAAAATAAGCACAAAATAGCTGCCAGCCTTGTCTTCCACTCCAGCACTAAACCCCTCCCCTTGTGCACACAATAAGCACAAAATAGCTGCCAGCCTTGTCTTCCACTCCAGCACCAAACCCCTGCCCCTTCCCTTTATGAGAAGCCTCATGACTTCTGCAAAACAGAAACCCTTTTGCTGCTGCAAGTGCACAGTTCTCCACCCTGGTCACATAGCTTCTGCATTAGCATAATGCCCCTCCTTGATGGTATCAGCCAGCCCTTGGCACCCTATATAAGTTCTCTCACCCCCACATCTGGGGCTGTCCTCCATTTTGAGGACAGCCCCAGGCTGCCTGTGACTTTGAGCGCAGCCCATCAGATTCTTTTCCTTTAATAAAGCTTGATCAGTACCTGGCATTTCGCTCACTTTCTTTCAAAAGGGTGCTCTTCTTTTATCCAAATATAGTTGTCCCTCAGTATCCACAGGGGATTGGTTCCAGGCCCTACCACGAATGCCAAAATCCACAGATGCTCAAGTCTCTGATATAAAATGATGTAGTATTTGCATGTAACCTATGCACATCCTCCCATAACAATAAGATAAAAAGTTCTATACATATTCAGTACAGACAATTTTTTTTCAAATATTTTCAACTCATGGTTGGTTGAATCCACAGATATAAAACCCATGGATATGGGGAGCTGACTGTATTGCTTATTGTGGTAAAATACATATCACATAAAAATTACCATTTGAACCACTTAGAGCATACAATTCAGTGGCATTTAAGACATTCACAGTGTTGCGCAACCATCATCAATATCTAGATTCAGAACATTTTCATCACCCCAAAAGGAAAGTCTGTCCTCATTCAGCAATCACTCCACATTCCTTGTTTCCCCCAGCCTCTGGCAACCACTAATCTACTTTCTGTCTCTATGGATTTGCCTGTTCTAGATATTTTATATAAACAGAATCATACAATATGTGACCTTTTGTGTCTGGCTTCTTTTACTTAGCTAATGTTTTTGAGATTCATCCATGTTGTAGCATTTATCAGTATTTCATTCCTTTTTGTGGCTGAATAATATTCCATTGTCTGGACATACCATATTTCCTTTATTCACTCATCAGCTGATAAACATTTAGGTTGTTTCCACTTTTTGGCTATTATAAATAGTGCTGCTATAAACTTTCATGTGCAAGTTTTTGTGTGGATATATATTTTATTTTCATGCAGTATTTACATAGGAATGGAATTGCTTGGTCCTTTGGCAACTAGCTTTAACCTTTTGGGGAATGCCAGACTGTTTTCCAAGGTAGGTACACCATTTTACATTTCCACCAGTAATGTATGAGGGTTTTCATTTCTCCA